CCCCACCCCTCCCACATAAAATATTTCATTTTACCCCCCCACAACTGGTTTGATTTCAAGCATATACATTTATATATATATATATATATATATTTGAAAATTAATTTATATTTTATTATATTAGGTTGTGAAAGTAAAAATAATTTAATTTTAAAAAAAAATCAGAAAAGACACGAGGAAACCGCTTATTTAATTGACAAAACCACCCAGAACATCATAGGAATGCCGCTAACACTTGCCTTCCTTTGTTCTAGTTTAGTCTCCGGCGTATTAAATTTATGTACGGAAATGACAAAAAAGCCCTTGACAATTTCGTAATTTTACTATTTACCTTCCCATGCATATTTAACTCAGCACGTAGATTCATTCCCCCACCCTCTCTTTTCTTCTGTTTTCATTTACTTTTATTTTGTTGTCTTTTTTCTCTTTTTTACTTTTTTAAATTATCTCAAAAAAAATCAGATTCTCTATTTATATTAAAAAATAATAATAAAAATAAACACTGTCGAAAATTAATTTTAATTTTTTCGAAAGACTACCCGGCAAAAGGATAGAGCACATGCGAAGGGGTGGGTGTAAAAAAGCAGGCGTTACGGAATTTCTGGGAGGGGGGTAAAACGGTCATTTCATGGAGAGAAAACCACAAAAATTACGACTCGTAGTAATAATAACAGAGGCAGCTGTCCACCGGGGAGTGCAGGTAGGACCGTTGACTATCTGACACGTGTCAGGTTAACGTACCCACTGAATTTTGGGGTTTGAAGATGGGTCCCACTGGATCAATCGAACTGAAGGGGAATCAGACGGCTGCCACTCTGTCTGAGGGGAAGGTTGTGGATTGGGGCCCACAAGAACCGGCCCCCACCTTTCCCGCTCTTTGTTCACTCGCCTCTCTTGCCAACCACTCCTAAAATTAGAACTGTCTGCTAACCGCAGAGAAAATGATATTATCCGTGTATATACACAACAATAATATATATATATATATATATACACCAAAGTTTAAAAAATAGAATAATAAAATCAATATATATATATATGTGTACTATTATAATGTAGTTTCGTTTTATAGTAAAAAATAATAATAATTAAATTATTTTTAATTAATAAAATTTAATTATGACGAAATAATTTTTTATTAATTTATTAATATTTTATTAAATTTAATTATAATAATTCTACTATCGTAATATCATCGAATCTAAACGTGAAACTTACGGACGAAGATTTTCGTGTTCTTCGATAATGGCATATGTATTGTGTTTCGTACATTTTATTGACAATTTTGATACCGATAATAATCATTTCAATTATTATTGATCAAGAAAGTCGTATAATTATGACATTATATATATATATATGTATACATTACATATACTAGCAAAAAAGTCTTTCTCCAATAATTTCCATTATGCATTTTCTTATTTTAATTCATGAATTTTCTTATATTATTTTCTAGAAAAAAAAAAAACGAGAGAGGAGATAATAAGATCAAAAAGGATCCTCGTGACATTCGTTTGATGAAATGAGATCAGGAGTTGAATGATGATGATGATGATGATGATGATATAGTGATTATATATATATATGTGTGGTGTGTTTGTATAAAAGAGAGTGGGCATCAAGTTTAATTTTTATGTTTTTACATACAAACGGGGCATTTAATTTAACAGTTTGCTAAACACGCACCAAATCATATATAAATTAATAATATTTTTTTCAATATATAACTATTTATATGTAAGTATGTCACCTAACGCATGCTTATATGGCATGCTATAATCTTATTATATATATAAATTGTTGTCCGTTATTAAACATAAAATATGTATATATATATATATAACACACACCCCACACACGGGAAGAATATAACGACCTAGCTACTATAGGTACAAACAACAATTAAAATAAATGATGAAGCAATAATCATACACTTCACTTATCTCCATGAACTATATGTATATATATATATATATATGTATACACAAATTTATACATTATATATATGCCGGAGTAATATAACAAATATGGCAAAAAACTTATGTCCGTTTCCTTCAACGGAGAATCTTGTTTGAGAGTGTTAATTAATTATATACATATATATATATATATATATATACTTGTGTATTACATCCGTAAGTTGACTAATTAATTATTCATTATAGTAATAATAATAAAATAATCATATTTTAATTTACTATAATTAAGTTTAATTAAAATTTAACGAATGTATTATATTTTTTTAATTAATTAAAAACTTGAAATAATTTTTTTTTATTTTTCAAAAAAAAAAACACATCATAGTGACTAAATTATAACTATAAACAATATAATTTAAATTGTAATTAAGTGATTATATTTTAATTTTTAATTATTATAGTTGGTTGAAATTCATAGGCAACATATATGTAATTAGAAAGGTTATTTAATTATTAATTAAGTTGTAATTAAAAATAAAATAATTTGGATTAGGTATATATCAAGAACACATCCCTTAAAGTAAAATAATTTTATATTTGTGTTAATTTTGATATTGTCTTAAAGCCATTCAAGTAGCTGAGGATTTCCACCAACTCCTTCAATTGGCTGAAACGACATTTCCTCCCCCCACGTGAAAACGACAACGTATTAAGTTGAAATTATAATAGATGTCTGAAAATGACATTAATAATTAATTAAAAATAAAGTTTTTATTAATCTAAAACTAGTTATTAATTAAATCAAGTATGTGAAAATTAATGATATATATTAACAAGTCAATTCTTCATTTTCTTTTAAATAATAATAATTTTATATTCAATAATATATATTTATATATAAATTATCTCTTTATCTATATAATATATAAATTATTTTAAATATATTAAAATAAAAATAATATAAGTAATAGTTATCTTTTTATTTAATTACAATTTGATATAATAATATACAGCAATTATTCATTATATTTTTTTTTTTTTTTGCATACCTTTTTCATACATTATTTTTTTCTAAAATGAATGTATAATAATTTAATTTTTATATAATTTTATTTGCGTAAAATAATAATTATATTTTATTTTATATAACTATGGAAATTATATTTTGATTACATGACAAAAAGTCTAGTTTTGTTTAATTAAATTAACTAATTGTTTAAAAAAACAAGATTAATTAGACTAATTAGGATGATAATGATTGAGCACCTAAGTGATCAGATTCAATGTTCTTGTTCCTCTTGGACAATTGAAATGTTATAAACTCATACACCATAAATATTCTTTTGGTTGACTTTCAAAACTAAGCATTGGGTCAACCAAGTAGAGAACTATACACACACACACATGTATGTATATATGTATATATATAAGAGTTTTCAATTTTAGGTACATTAATTAATGTTATTAAAATATTAATTATGCAATTTACTTGCTGGTATATATATATTATACAATTAATACTTATAAGTTATTGAATATGTATTGTCAAATGGGTTTAATTTTAATTTGATATCGTGCCATCAACATCATGAAAATATTGTAACAATAAATTAATTACATGTCAAATTTAGTTAATAGTTTGAATCCAATTAAATTTTCAAGTAATATTCAAGATTTTATAGTTAATTCGAGTGCTTTTGACTTATGAAAATAATAATTAATTAATTATTAAAAAAAATTGGCATAAAATACCCATTACAATTAGTTAATTAATTAAATTAATTATCTCAAAATTTAATTAATTTGGTACACATTTATGTTGCTAAATACGTTTTAGGATTTATCTCGTGATATTAATCTTCCGTTTGGGTAAAATCTTGATTTTTCGTGGTTATTACTTATTAATTAATTGGATAATTGTAAAGATAAATTAATTTCAATGGGTCAAAAATGAAATTAGGGCACGCCCGTGTCCTATATCTCTATCTATTTGTCGAATAAGGCAAGCTTTGTTACTTTGGACTACCCCATAAATGTCCCATCTTGCCTCTGCTTAAAGAGATGGGTAGGGGGCATTAAATGCATAAATTATTCATATTATAAATGACAAAATTAATTGTAACTATAAGTTTAAATTTAACTTTACTTTATATGATTTTATAATATAAAAATTTATGTTTAATTTAAATTATGTTTACGTTGGCAAAAAAAAATTAAAATTAAAATTTTGTTTCGTAATTTATTTATAAATTCACTTACGAAAAAAAAAAATCAATAATACTATACAAATAATTTATAAAACAAGACTATATTGATTTTTATATATTATTTTGAACAATATATATTAAATATTATAATTATATATTAATATTAATTTGAAATATTTATCGATTTCTTCATATGTATATATATGTGTGTGTGTGTATTCAATTTATGATTTGTTGATTTATATTAAAATTATATATATATATATAATATAAAAAATTTCTTTTTGATTTTAAGAAATTGGGCCCTTAATTTGTGGAGAGTGGGGGCCCATTACGGGCCTTAATAATTCCACCCTCATAAAGGGTGTGGGGTCCACAGGTTTCTTTTAAGGTTTCCAAAAATAGTAAAACTTGATCTACAACTGATATAATTTATTTATTTATTTATTTTATTTATAAATTAATTATTTAAATTTTAAATTTTAATTTCAGTTTCTTCAGCTGTCAACCGCATTGATTTCGGTTTCGGCTTTGACTGCAACCAAACAGCCCCCCATTCAATTCATCCGCCCATCGCCCAAAACGGAATCGCTTTTGGCTTCTTCCTATTCTTGCCGTTATTCTCAAAACGGCCGCGTTTTCACACCTCACCTCCTCCAATACGACGAGTCTTGTAATTATGATGACTTTTACCAACAAGCGTATAATACATCGATTGACGAAAGAACACAAGTTATTGATTTGAGAAAAGAAATTTTGAATCAAAACAAAAAATTTTTTACAACGTTTCAAATGTTCATCCAATTATACCCGCAAACTTAAAATTCATGTTCATACGAGATCTATTAATAATGCTAAGCGATTTCGAATCTATGAGATTTTCCCATTATCTCCCTCGATCGACATACCTCGTGTTTCGTCTGAAAAAGAATTAATCGGGTAGTCAATAATTTGTATCTAGATACTTATTAACAAAACAGGCGATTGAAATTATCTAACAAATTATTTTTATTAATTACAAAATATTTTCAAATTTTCAAACAAATAAGTCGTAACGAAATATGGTTATAAATATATTTCACGCATAGTACTCGTGACATATATGATCTTATAAAATAAAGACTAGACTTGCATATTTTTATAAAATAAAACAAATGGTTGAGAATTTATATAGTATATGACATATAGTTTTCAAAAATAAACACGTTATATATATATATATATATATATTTTTTATGTATTGACTAATTATGACTAATTTGAATTTATAAGTTATAAAATATGATGAAGACAAATTTGGCTTCATAAATTTCATAATCTTTCTCTCCCAACGTGTTTTGATGCATATAAATTGTAAGCGATGAAATATATTTTTATAATAATTATTTATGAAAAAATATTAATAATTAAATTATGACAAAAAAAAATATTAGGAATTAGAATTATAACAAGTGTTGAATTTTACGGATTAATTTGATAATTTATTCAAATTTTAATTAATATAAAAAAATAAAAATTGAACATATTAATATTTAAAAAAATTTATTTTTAACTTAATTTATGATAAAAAAATGTAACAATTTAAAATTTGCAAGAAGAATAACTTAATTTATACAAAATTTTGATATAAAAATAATTAATAAGTAATTTTATTAAAAATATTGATAATGGGTATTGAAGAAGGCCCACTGATAATTCATTATATTTGGGCCTTTAAATTATAAATATTAAAATAATATGGCCCTTCCAAATATATATATATATATATGTAATGTGAAAGAGATATTAATAATATATTCAAAATATTTCATATTATATATATATATATATAAATTATTTTATATAGAAATAAAATATATACGAACAGAAAAATAAATTTGTTCGTATTTCATGAAATTTCTAATACATTAGACGAGATGAAAGAGGAAGTGACTCGTAAATTTTGTATTTCTTAATATATATTTTTTATTTTCACTCGGGTCTTTATACGTTATAAAAATTTTATTTTTTATGAGTTGAAAAATATAAAAAAAAAAAAAAATTGAACGCTTACAACAAGTATAAAATCTCATGTATCAAGTTGTAGGGTAAATAAAAAAAAATTGAATAATTTAAACAATATATATATATGTATATGTATATGTATATGTATATGTGTAAGTATATATGTAGTAAATTTTATAAGATTAGAAAATAAGGTGGGAAATCTACTTTATGGTTTAAAAGGTAGTTCCAATTGAGGAGGGTGCAATGAGAGTAATATTTATTGTATGGAAAATGCATTGATGGTCCCAAGCATCAATATACTTTTGCTTTCCTCTCTCTCTCTCACACACACACACACATGTGTATATATATATATATTTGCTACACAGTTATCACTCACCGAAAACACCAGGAATATACTCTCACACACACACACATATATATATTTGCTACAGTTATCACTCACCGAAAACACCAGGAATATACTGTCACACACATACATATATATATATATATATGTAGAGAGAGAGAGAGAGATTCTCCCCCCAAAAAAAAAATTTCAATTTTAAAATTAAAATATAGTTTAATTTTTAAAAAATAATTGGGACTGCTCCATCCTGAATTTCTTAATGCTCTACATTTAAAATTATTATTATATATAATAATATCTTTGTTATTATTTTAATTACTATTCGTGATTATTTAATTACCATTTATAATCAATTGATTAATAATGTGCCAAATCTAACAGTAAAATGATAGCTAATATAATAATATCCAAACAAAATTATCAAAATTCATGATAAAAATTGAATGAAACAGTAAAAAAAAATGAATATTTCACTTTATGTATAAGTTAAAATTAATTTTATTTTTTAAATAACGAGTAACTTTTAAAAATATTATTAATTGTAAATACTTTTAATTATTTAATATTTAAAATAAATAATTGTAGAAAATATTATCACTTTTAAAAAAACATAAAAATTTTATATTTATTTATTTTTTTATTACGCATTCATTATTCGTAATATAATTAAAACTTGTTAGATAAAGATAACGCGTAATTTTTTAAGGCAATATATTTTTTAAAAATTAAAATTAAATTTTTTAACTCATTATAATTACTTAAATTAAAATACCCAATTGTTATAAAATATTTATTATGTCTACAAATTAAGTTATAAGTAGAGTTAGGGCAATACATAGAAAAGTTAAAAATGAAAGTAGGAAGAATGTAAGAGAAAGGGGTAGAAGAAAGAGAAGGGAGGTTGAATACAGGCTGTAAAGGAAGAAAAGAAGGGCAGCGGTGTTGTAAGGTCCCCCCCCCCCCACCACAAGCCTAAGAATTTGGGAAGAAGCCACAGAATTACAATACCCAACGATTCTTCTTTTTTTTTTTTTTTTCTCTTTTCCTTTTTTGGGGTTTTTGGTTTGGTCTACCCAGCAGAAGTTAGGTGTCTTTTGACAGGTCTAGTCAGTCAGATTTTGCTGTTGAAAATCAGACAAGCTCCGGCATGGAAGGGGCACTTCAATCAATTCTAACTTAAATTACCTTTTTACTGATTTCAAGCCATGTCCATACACCATCTTCCCAAATCCTAATTACTTGATTTTTCTGGCTGCCAAAGATGATTTCTTCATAATTTTTTAAAATGGTAAAAGAGTGTTTATAATGGGTGAGCCTCCGTTATAAAAAAATACAATCAATGCCAAATAATTTTTGACGTACTCCCATCAAACCCCACTGTCACGTGGAAGCAGAGTTTGAGTAATAGTAGAAGGTAAACAATCAAGCATGCATCTTTTACCATGACACGGTCTTGAGAGAGTGGGGGAAATAATAAGAACGCCACAATAATTGCATTTGCAGGGGGGGGGGGGAGGGGGGGGCGGGGCAATCTCTGTCTGTCCCACTGTCTCCCTGGCCTGAATTTTTAAAACCAAGTTGGAATCACGAATGTGTAAAAAAATAAATAATACTGGAGAAATATGTCGCCATCCAGGAGGAATATTACAGCTTCATCTCGGAACAGATGTAACATGCATTTAACCAATCGCTTTCACCAAAATCCTATACCAACCCAAACAATAAATAAGAGAAACAAGCAGATACACTCTGCTACTCCCAGGGGGCAGCCATTAATTCCCAGCAAAACAACTCAATCCATTAAATGTATCAACAAAAATACACACACACACACACACATTCTAGCAATGTAATTAAAACAATAAAATTCTAGACACGAGAAAATCAAACATGACATGCTTCAAGCAGCAGTTGGAAAAAGAGAGAGAGAGAATAAAAAAAAAAAAAACAAAATCTCACTCTATGTTTTATGGCCAGATCGTGTTCGAAAGGTTGGGGGACCAAATTCCCACTAGGAAAGATCTACTAGATTATATAATTAAACATTACATGGTTTTTAGTAAAAAGTTTAAATCCGATCACACCCTACAAAATTACAAACGGAGATAAGATTGATTACAATAAACTCAAGTTTTGAAATAGAAATCCTATAAACCATTAATTAAAAGAAAATCCACAAAATCTACTACCTTCAGGCAAAGGTTACAGTTGTAACACAGCATCACACCAGCACCAAAGATCAGCCGCTTATAAAACAAATCGAACGAGCTCCATTTCTTTTGGCGTCTTCTTAGATCAGATTAAAAAGACACGAACATCCAAGGTCATTCCGCTCGAGAGTAATTACACAGATAGAATAGGTTCCACTTATAGCATGCAATCCGTTCTTGCGGGCAACCTTCTGAAGAAATTCAGGGGGACTGAAGGAAGCTTATGACGGAATCTAGGATGTCTCAACACATAAAACCCAGTGATAAGGGCCACAACCTGGAAAGGTGTAACATAAAGAACAACTGCAGCAACCAGGCAGAAAATCACAAAAAGAGCTGTTGCCCTTGGGTCACGCCAACTTAGCAACGATTGCAACCTCTCCCCTTGAGTGGCCAAATCACCAACTACAGTCTGAATCCTCCCAGCAATGCTCCTCAACCGATCATACCTCATCCTCACAATATCAGCAGGCCTAGAAGTTGGGAAGGTATCGAATTCTTCATCCAGTTCATCAACATGTACAGAATCAGCATGGGAGAGACGAGTGTCCATGTGAGGAGGATGTATGGGTCTCCACCTATAATACCAAACTCCAATCAAGAAGAGGTAGAGGAATATCGTAGGTAAGATGAGATCAGCATAAAGGACCAATATTATAAACAATAGGCGAATCAGTGACGTGATGACGGGAGGGTAACAATTGCAAGTCTCGTCAAGTCATCTTCCTTCTGCAACTTATGCACTCAGAACATTCATAATAAGAAAGAAGGTAGCCATGTTTGTGAGCTTATTCCACATGTGAGAATCCACATCCAGCATATATTCAACAACCTTTTTCCTCAATGGTGGCTCAGCCCGGCTCAGTCTCATTGAGACAATCTGAGTAGCCTGGTGCCTCAAGCTATCGAGCTGGCTAACTGTTAATGGATGAAGATAGTGCATTTTTGGCAAAAGAGGTTGTGAGTACATGTGCATCATATTAAGCAATGAAGAGCAAGTAAACCTCACAGCCAAATGAATTTCACCCATTTTCTTCACGCCATTCGGGTGTAGCACTAGCAGTGGATATGAGTGTGTATAAACCCGATCTGTCTCAAGAGTTGATAGTCGAACCCTCACCTTTCCAATCCTTGAATCCTTTGCCCCTCCAGCCTTGTCTCCCCCATGCAAGTGACAGTTATCAAATACCCCAATAGTTATGACGGTACAAGGATCAAAAACCTCCCAAGTATACTGTTCATTCCACTTGGGTGTAAAGCTATCTATGATTGTCCTGGTTCGAACCCACTTCTGTCCGTACTTTGCCACACAATAAGCATCGGTTGTTCCCCGACCATCTTTGGTCTTCATAGGCATTAATCCCTGTGCATTTAGGATTCCCAATTCCAGAACCCCTATGCTGGACTTCCAGAGCTGTTTTGCAGTTGGCCTAAGATCACTACTGTAGTGAGTGGATTCATCCAGAACATGATACCCGCCTTCCAAACAGATTCTGACGTGAATCCTGCTGGCAAACTTAATCTCTTTCTTCTTTTCTCCTTCTACAATAACATGCTTCTCAAGATTATGCCATCTGGTATTCACAGGTTTGTGATCAAACCTCCTGTCCACGTACTGCAAGGGAATTGCACATTTGCCCAAAACTTCATCCTTGTTTGGTGCAACTCTATCTTCCACACTAAGGATCAAAGGCTCCTCAAATGGCTCTGCTGCTACAAACATCAAATCTTCATTCCACATTGGATTCGGAGACCTGCTTTGAGAAATCCTGGTTCTCAAAGCCTGGTTTCCCAGTGTAGCCTTCACAAACACATCCGGATATCTACCCTTGTCACCTAACTGCAAATCCTGAGCCTCAATGATGTTAACTCTCAAATACCAAAGCTTTGGAGAAAGATAAACTTTGGACCTAAAATTTGCAAGGCCATCAGTTCCACTGACAGTAGCGGCATCTGAATGCCATGCTTCAGGGAATGCCTCATCTGCTTGAGTACCATACCAAACAGCCAACATCAACTCTCCCTTGAGCTTATCACCCTTCCTATCCTCCAGCCTGTACCACTGTGGTGCCAAAGGACTGTCTGGTGGAACCCGTTTTGGGATCTCATTCAGATCAAATACAACCCGACCCATGAAATCATCCTTCACAAAGTCCTTGTCCTTCACACTAACTTCAAGGAATGAAGCCTGGATTCTATCTTTTGAAAATGCAAACACTTGATTCCACTCAGGATTTGACTTCTTCTCAAAATATCTGGTGGTACCCTTATAGTTTCCAAGTTTAATTTCAACGTACGGATCACAACTACCTGTAACGTCTTTTCCAGGTAAATCCTTGGCCTTGACAACACGAACATAAAGATATTGCATCTGCTCAACAAGGTCATAGGTACTTGTGAGCTTGTCCCCGGAGATCTTCCCGCCTCCAAGATGGGGCTTGGTCTCCTTAAGGGAAAAGTCTTCTGGGGGAGGCCTCTGCATCTTCGGGTCCAAGTTGCAGAGACTCAAATCCTGAAATCAAACGGTAAAATGTTATTTCATAGACTAAGTAAGAAACCCGTGCTCAAATTCAAAAGTTCCCAGAAATCAAGAAGATAATATAAATTCAGTCAGCCGTTAATAAATGGAAAGACTCGGTCACCTAAATACTCGGGAACTGCTAAACAGGAAACAGAATCCAAATATTCGAAGGGTTACTAGAAAAATGGAGAGATATCTTAAATCAGTCTATGTTCGTATAATTGTACCAGAAGCCGCAAGAAGGAAAAATAAAAAATAAAAAAAAAGAAACGCGAAAATAAGGAAGTTTAATAATTGTAGACAGGGAACAAGCTTACAGGAGTATAGACAAACGGATGAATTACACAGCAATCTTCTTCACGGCCTTAGATCTGAGAACACGAACCCTGTAGAAATACAAACATGCACAAAACCAAAGGTAAGAATCATGAGCGCCATACTCGTGAGGAAAAACTACTAGATCCAAATTCAGGGAATATACAAGAGCGAATATCTTAAGCTATTATCCTCTTTGGCTACGAGAAAACGCAGGAAAATGTAAAGAAAAAGAACAATAAACCCGTAGATTTCCACTATTCCTCGACCGAACACTCTGCTTTTTACCGAATACAATTGTCTAACTCGGACGAGGCGGGTCTCTCATTTCTCTTCTTCCTGATAAACCAAACAGAAAAAAAACTAGCCACCAAAGTCTCTTTTACTTCCAAAACTTTCTCATCCACCAAAAAGAAGGTGACGACGCATCTTCCTGTAAACACAGACTTCACAAAGAGACACGTACACACGCAAATCTTCGTTCGATTTCCTTGATTTTCACCGAAACCGCAGCCATCAAGATAAAATAGAGAGTAAACCAGTAGAAAGTGAAGATAACCAGAAGACAAGGAAATAAGCACCTCAACGCATTATGCCGTAAAACTGAAGTAAAGAAAACCCTAGAAGAAGGCACCACCGCCAAACTAGAACAACAACAAAAGCAAAAACAAAAAGTTACAAACCGAAGTATAGACAGACCTGGAAGATAAACGCAGCATCAAATACAGCGTTTATCCCATGCCGATTACGTCAATGAAGCTCATTCATATGAGCAGAGACTGAGAGTTGAATTATTTTGTAAAAACTTCAAAAAAAAAAAAAAACGAAGAAGAAGATAAGAACAACACAGAGACAGAGAAAGAGAAGCACAGCCACCAGACCAGCGGGTACGCTATTTGTTGTTTTCTTTTTTCTTTTTTATTTTATTTTTCTTGCTTTCGCTTTTGCTTTATGGTTGGGATCTGATGAATCTGCGAGAATACACACAGAACCTACTCTCTCTCTCTCTCTCGTTCTCACTCACTCGCTCCCTCTCTCACTTGCCCACTTTCATTCTCTCGCGTCTCTGAACAGTCAAGCGGGGCCCACGCCTCAAGCGTGCGCGTAAACCACGGTCGGAATTCGCACGTGTTCGGACCGCTCCCTTTATTTATTTATTTATTTTTTTTTACAAACATTTATTCTACAACTTATACTCTATTATTATTTAATTAAAAAAACACTTATTTTTAAAATCACCATTTAATCTAATTAATTTACTTTAAACATTTTTATAATAAATATCGTATTAAAATTAATAATAAATATATATTTTCTAATTTTAAAATGAAATTAAGTAATTTTTTTTGG